TGGTAGGGGGAACCCTGCAGCCCCCAGGCATGGAGCCGCGGGTAGGGCTGCGTGGGGAGGGGGGGACCTGAGGGCTGGTGGGTGCCCGCCGCGGCGAGGAGCGCTGGAGGAAGGACCAGGCTGAGCCCCCTGACAGGTGTCTCCGCCGTAAGTGCCCTTACGCAGTAACTCAAAGACTCACAGACTTTGTGTTTGTTATCGCTGCCGTGATCCTCAAAGATGATGTTAGCAGAGCAAGCCCAGAAGTGGTTCCCAACTCACGTGCAAGTTACGGTCCTTCAAGCCAAAGGTTTGAAGCCAAAAGGTAAAAATGGCAGCAACGATGCCTACACCATCATACAGCTGGGCAAGGAGAAGTACTCCACCTCGGTGGCCGAGAAGACCCTGGATCCCATCTGGAAAGAAGAGGCCTCCTTTGAGCTCCCTGGATTACTCATGCAGGAGAATCCAGAAAAATACATCCTGTACCTGATCGTCATGCACAGGTCGTTGGTGGGGCTGGACAAGTTTTTGGGACAGGTGGCGATAAGTCTGAATGATATATTTGAGGACAAGCAAAGAAGGAAAACAGAGTAAGTGATGGTTGTTTTTTTTCATTATAATTTGTATTCCTAGTACACTTGCACTTGGTGGGGGGGAGTAGCAGACTTATTATCAACATACTTGGAAATGAAATTAGTATGTTTCTTTCTTCTGTGGTGCATTCAAAGCCCCTAATGTATACAGTTATGTCATTGCAGCCTGACCTCTTCCAGAGAGTTTACTGTAATCACAGTGGTCGCCCTGCACAAGGAAGGACTGTCATTAACATTTTTTGACAAATTCTTATGTGCAACGTGAACTCATTACAGTTTGTTTTTCTAAAGATTTTTCTTCGTTCTGCTCAGGGCCATATCCCCCCATTCAGCTCCTACCTCAATTTGAACCACGTACAAGACTCAGATTCTGTCAAAGCCTGGTGTCGTGCCCTTTAAAAATGTTTTCCTTCAGTCGCTATAACCAAGCATCTTTAAATATTTTATATTTATGTTTTAGTGGTCAATGAACTGTGACTTAGTGAAGGCTTTACCACAGCAGTGCAGTGCTTTTTTGATCCTGATAAGTCTTAGGCCGCAATCCTGCAGGCTGCTCTGTACAGCAGGCCCCAACAGAGCACACTGAAGAGAAATTTCTGCCGTTGTGGTAGCCTCCATCATTAGCTACATAAGCCTTTGTCAAATAAAATTGCTATTTGCCAGCAGATTTTGGCACTGGAATGCAAAAAAAAAATTAATAATCACAGCAGTTTATTAAGTTTATCAGGCTGAACTGTAAACCTATCTAACTCCCTGGGTTTTCCAACTAAATTAGTAAGATTGTTTATAGTTTCTGGTTAGGACATGATTGCACAAAGATGTCTGGTACCAGTGTAATTTATCGTCCAAAGCGTATGGGAATAAACTGCAAGTGTAAGTGTACTGCAGGTGTGCCTGTGACTACGTGATTTGTGTTTGTGTTAGCTATGTTTGTCCCACAGAAGTAGTCCAAGAACCGCATGGAGACCTCCATGCTAGGAGCTGACAAATCTTTCTGCAATGGTTGAAAAGTTCCTGTCCCAGGTGCCTTTCCTCCTTCAGTGTCTCTTCAGTAGAGTAGAAAGGCTCCTGTGACCAAATCTCAGCTGTTAAAATTCAAGTCTGGTATTTCTCCTGTTAGTGATGGTGGATCTATAGTAAGATGCTGAATTTTGTGTCAGTGACTAAGAGGCTGGCATCGTTTTTCTGTTGCTGACAGTGCTGGGGAGGCGGGAACCTGCAGCAGTGTCCGAGCGGGCAGTTAGAGGAGGAAATCAGTACAGCAACACCAGCCAGGTCTTGTTGATCAGTCAACTGTTTCTGCAGAAACCATCTCAAAACCTTGTCCTGCTTATGGGCAGTGGCTGAGATTGAAGGAGCACCAAAGACAAGTCAGAGATGTCTTTGCCCTGGTGGTTGGGGTTTTTTTGTAAACTATAAATTTTTAGCAAAACAGTATGTTCACTAACCATATAACAGGAAAAAACATGTCAGTGCGGAATCTCTTGTGGGTTCATGGTCTGAAGCGTTATACTTTTTAATTGCTTATCTTTTTAAGGACAAACCAGTTATCTTGATGCAATACATGGTAATGCCTGTAGCCTTAGGGTCTTAATTTCTGTTTACACTTGTTTCAAGAAGTTTCTTCAGACATGCCTCTTAAATATTCTTTAATCATCAGTTGTAATTATCTTGCAAGTCATAGGCAACTGCTTTGGTTTAAACACCTAACTGCTCTACAATAAAAAAAAAAGGTGAATGAATCAAGTAGAAACGCTACTAAGAGTAAAAACTTTCTAAGTCTGGGTAGAAATATGTATTCAGAAACTGGAGGAAAATGTGTAAATTATTCATGTATTACTGTGCGTAACAAAACCTCTTTTTGCTTTGGGGAACCATACGCTTTTGCACCAATTTTAGCAAAAGTAGTATTGGAGTCTTACAAAATTATTGCAAAAATTTGTAAGTGGGGTAATTAACATAGTCCTCCTGACAGTTAAATAAACATGCAGATCTCTTTGGTATTTTTATATGAAGTTGTGTTTAGCAGGGCTTCATAGGTGTGCTTTATTTTTCGTTTCTTTCTCTGAAGTGTGAAAGAGGAGCTCACACTATGTAAATGTGCAGCGGTACTTCCCTAGACCACCGCTGAAATTACCAGGGCTCCCTGAGAAAGCTGCGCTCCGCCTGCAAGCTGTACTGCGGAAGACAGGGGCCTATGGGGAAATTTTTACAAACAGCCTAAATCCTATTTTCAGAAGTTACTTGAACATTTAAGATTGCAGATCTTATTAAAAGTTGATGGGTGTTAGGCTTCCAGAGCCAAACAGCCACACTTGTAAAAATCTTACGTACGTGTAAAAGTGCAGATAGGCAGTTAGTGGGATTTTTGGCAGCACGTGCTCACTTAATGCCCATTTAAAATTCTTACGAGATAGGAACCACTGAAGGTCCAGTTTTCCTGTCTGTGTCTTTAGAAACCTAGGAAATGTCCTTTTTGAAACTCACTTTTGAAAAAAATCAGAGTCCTTAACTTTTCAAAAACATCTGAACACTGGTCAGGGTTGTCTGCTTGTATGCCTTCGTGGAATGCGTGTGTGTTGTTGCTGACTCCTTTAAGCATTAGTTGGAGACGCAGATGCAATATTTGTACATGTATGTGGGAGGAGGGCAAACTTTCAAGAATATATTTGCAAATGTGATCTCAAACAAAACACTCTTTCTTATTCCCCTTTTATTAAATCCGTTTTGATACAAAATATTCCTAGTCCTGTGTTGGCAGTAAACTGAGGGTAATATATTTGGACCCGAAGACCTTCTAGCCGTGACTGTGGTGTGGGAACTGAGATACCCAGTGCCTTTCAAGACCAAGTCCAATGTCTTTATTACCAAAGCATTTTGATGGTTGAAAGCTATATTCATTGTTTCAGAAACACTAATCTGTTTTATTAAGCTATGTTTTTACTTTCAAATATGTTCAACAGGCTTGTGGTGTTATTAAATCCAGAGTTATTTTCTCATGTTGATGTAACCTTAACATTTCTTGCTTTGTTTGGGGATGAATGAGATCCAGTTATTTGATGAAGTGTCTATTGGTAATATTTCTACTTTTTAATATATTTAATAGCTTCCTCTTTCCAACACAGCTGTACATATGGTGCTGTAAGAGACAGACTCAAGAGTCACCAGGGTATTGCAAAAAAGATATTTAATATTCTGCACAATGCTGAACCCTGTCAGCAATTCCCTAGTGCTTTTTTAGTGAGGAGGTATGAGAAGTGAAGGCTACCAGCTGATTTTGAATTCCTAGGAAGACCGTGGGGTGTGTGACATTAAGCTTTTTGTATATATTTTTTTAATTTAATATTTTATAATTTGGAAAAAATAAATTAAAAAATTCACTGCAGCTTCAGAAATGTTATGTTAGGGAAAAATAATCCTTTTTTCTCTATAGATTTCTTGGTACTAGTCACACCTTAAGAAAAATACTCTGCAGTAAAGTTTTCACGCAGAGGCCTCATGATAGGATTTGCGCGTCTTATGTTCTAATAAACTTGATTTCACACAATATTCAATGAAACAAAGCAGTATATTTACTATAATTTGATAGTGAAAGTTCTGTACGCACCATCACACGATGTCCTTTCTCTTTCTTTCTGAAACCGATGATTTTTTGAATTCTTAAAAGTGAAAATTCCTGGAACAGTTAGATCCAGATGTGGCTCAGATGGTCTCTTACTAGGTCTTTTCCTGAGACCTCAGCCAAAGCGTCTGCCGGATCCTAGTTCACTTTCTTTCTTTTTTGGTCCAAAAGCGCCCATCACACTGTTCTGACTTTGTAAATTTCTGTCTCTGGCATCTCTGCTGTAGTTGGAAATGGACAGGCTCTTGTTACTTCTTCTGCTCTTTTCTCCAGAGTTGAAAACTGGGCTCCAGAAGCTAAGAGATTTTACTGAAGTTTTTTTAACAGTTCAAAAAATTGGGAGATACTGCTTTATTGGAAGTATATTCAGCATAACTTTTCAGATCTTAGATTTCTGACATGGTTTTATTTTTTGCAGTAAAATCCTGTGGGTTTTTTTTTTAATTCTTTATGAGAAATACATGACAGTTTTTTTGTATGCTGTTGTAGAATAAATATACCTCCTTTGCTCTTGCAATTTGAATGTAAATGATGATCAATGAATTTGTTGTTTTAAAGGATATATACATCTTTGTAATAATTTCAATTCAGTTATAATTCATAGTTGCCTTAATATTGCTGATGATCTGATCTGCGTAACATCAAAACAAATTTTGAATTATCATGGAATAAAAAAAATACTCATTTACTGACATGTCTGAATTTACTGAAGTATTTTTCAGTAGGTTTTTTTAATAACTGTACTTAGTTGTTTTTTTTTCCTGTGTGCTAAGTGAACACAGCAATAGAAGAACAAATTTCCGTTAGCTTTCATCATAATGTTACTTATTTCATCGGTATTTGCTTCATCCTCGCCGTTCTCTAATTCCACGCTATTTATTGTCCATTCCTTTATTAGCTTTCCTGGAGAGCTAATTTTATTATACGTTCGGCTGATATAAGATGCAATGCTTGTCTGGAACGTTGTAAATTTGAGGGGGGCAGGCGATGGTAGAGTTATTGTTTCTTACAGAAATTTTGTTGGAGGAGACATTTTTATTTGTGACTTAATTCGCCTTCTCTCTGGTTTCTATAATACCTCAACACCCCACCCCCAAATTGCTTCAATGTTGTAAAAAATGCTTATTTAAGCATAATACAGTGAAGGAGTCTTGGCCTTATCTAAGCTGTTACTCCTCTGCTTACATCTATCATATAAAACAGTCAAAACCAGGTTCTCAGCAAACAAGCAAACAAAAAGAATTACCGACCCATCATGTTCAATACCCCTGTGTTGTGAGCACTTACTCCTTAGGGCTGCTGAGCTTCCTGAAAGATAGGAGAATTGTGTGACTTCCTCCAAATTAATGTGAATTCCTTCTTGGCAGCCTCCCCC